GCTCTCAGGAATGTTGTAATGAGCGACGGTATTGGAGCGATTGGTAATAAAGTGAGTGTGGACGAAAACTGTCATGTACCTCTGGCTGACAAAGAGCGCAGTGCTGATATACATAGGATGTCGAGACGAAAAAAGTCAAGCATACCATGCAGCACAGACGACGTATACACATTACTGCAACAGCAGGCGGAAAAGGATGACATTGTGTACGTGGGATGACCACGGCTTCAAATGTGCAAATGCCAATACTCCCCCTCCACTCCCCCATCATTCTTCACACAACAGCAGCGCCTCCCCGGCTCGGCTCTTCCAGTGTGGCTGTGCTGGTCTGGTTGCGAAACAGCCGATGCTGCCCGATGCACGCCGTCCGCACCCACAAGGCACCGATACACGAGCACCCCGCGGCCATCACGAGGGCGGCACAAATAAATGCAACAGGGTGGTTGGCGCGATCGGCCACCCGATCGGCCACCCAGCCAGCAAACGGTGCGCCACCACAGCCGGCGATACCGATACCCATATACAGGAAGCCCAGGGCCCCTGGCAACCGATGAGTGCCGAACAGCTGAGCCACCACAACAGGTGTCAGCGAGATCCGGGCACCCCATACGATAAAGGTCGGCAGCACTGTGTGCGCATACATACACCGACACATACGATAAAGACACGCATATTTCCCTGCACATACACAGACACCACCTACACGCACACACACGTACCTGCATACAGACGTACGACTGAGCGTCATACCCATCTGTGTATAGATGCTTACACGTGTCAGATGTGCGGACGGCTGTCTGACCGTCAGAGTGTCCACGTGAGATCTGCACCTGCATACATGCACACATCAACACACAGCGCGCACACGTGCGTACCCATACACTGACGAATGCGCCGCATTCCTTCAGCTCACCCATCACGATGCAATACACGCTCGACCAACACGAAACTCTCCAGCTGTGTAGACGAAGCCTGCGCACACACACGCAGACCCATTCCCAGCAGATGAGATGCATGGTCACACCCCCTGACCGGCACTCCTTCCCTCACCTCGAACCAGCCAGCAGGATCATGGCGCATCGAAGATCACGCACAGCAGCAGAGGAACGAATGGCGATCGATGCGGACAAAGGGACACCTGCACACATCGCACCAGCCGACACACATACGAATACCCACAGATGTGGCCATCGATGCGTGTGTGATACCTGTCATGGTGGCGGACGATCGACGACGGGCAGTTGTGTACACATGAGTACACGCATTTCTCCGCCTGCATAGACACATCGGCACACAGCGAACACAGACAGGCGCTCTCGGCGAGCGATCGAGTGAGAGAACGCAGAACCCATCGTTCACAGCGCACACATACCGACACATAGGCAGACGAATGCCTCGCACCTGTGTCTGTGGGCACACATACACAAACCGCAATGCCCTCAATCACACACACGTGTGCCGCACACGTAACGTACCTTATCGATGTGAGTCCGATTCCTCTCCTTCGCCACGTACGTACGCGCACCTGATACACATCATCAAGCCCTCGTGCGCCACACCTACTTCGCGCAGCACGATGCAAAACACATACACACCTCGTTCGCTCGCCTCATCTCCTCTCGATGACCAGCCTGATGCACCCCTCGACGCATAGGTGGACCCTGTACACACAGACAAGCAAAACAAACACAAACAAGATGACCAGCGCGATTTGCTTCGTTTACGAGTGGCGATTGTTTCCTTCGTTTGGCGTTGGTTCATCCCATTGTTTTGACCCTCCTCTGCCCCTGTCAGTCACCTGCACACGTCAACCAACACAATGCCGTCACTGTCAGCCAACATCCACCATTGCTTCGCCTCGCTTTGCCACCCTCTCACCTCAGTCTGTCTGCCAGCCTCCCGTCCGCCCGATGAAGCACATCATTGTGTATGGCCCAGCAATGGCTATCCGGTCGTAAGCGTCACTCCGTCCACCTGATACAGACAGACACAGACAGACAGACAGACAGGCAACAAGGAGAGCGAGCGCTCCTCGAGAGTGATGATTCATATCATTCAGACACAGATACACATCAGAAGAGTCGTTCCTCTGCCTGACTGTCAGTGAACCACCCTCCAGCCTCTGTTTGTCATCAGCTGTGGCATATAGAGAGTGAAGTGAGTGAGTGCCTTTCTCTCTCTGCCGTTCATGAGTGTGGCTCTCCGGAGCTTGCCGATGCCTCACCGTCTGCCTGTCGACAGCCGCGTGCTCGTCACTGCCGATGCATCCTTGCTTTGTGTATTCTGGTCGACCTCAGATGTTGATCTTAGCCAAGCTCGACCTCTTATGTTTGCAATCCCTTGTTTCTCTTTACGAATCAAAGACCGACTTGAGCCCATTGAGCAAGGCTGCCGTGTGCCTGTGGGATCGTACCATCTGCCCCCTCGTCTCCTCCAGGCGATGATGGACGATTGGGAGAAAGAGTACAATGTGGATGAGTATGGATTCATCACAAGCGACCAAAAGGCAGCAGCATCATCAGCAGCATCAGCAGCAGCAGGAGCAGCAGCAGCAGAAGCAGAAGCAGCAGCAGGAGCAGCAGCAGAAGCAGCAGCAGCAGGAGCAGCATCAGCAGCAGCAAGGGGAGGAGGGTGAGCGATTCAGCAGCAGATTGTCTCTTTGATGTCTGTCTGTCTGTCTGTCGTCCTTATGTGAGGTAGGTTACCAGACAAGGATGGTCTCCCCTCGCTAGCGTCGGCTCTGCTGAGGACCAAAGACGACCGGCGAGAGCAACAGGAGCATGAAGAGCAGGCTGAGCAGCAAGAGGACCAGCAGCAGCAGCAGCAGCAGAGGAGGGGGTGGGAGAGGAATGACGGGTTGATTGAGGAAAGACCAGCCAACGAGCACGAGTTTCCCTCGCTTGTCGAGAGCCGCCACTCTCCCAAGAAGAAGCGCGCGCAGAGTCAGCCGCTGCCCGTCAGTCCACGCGCCCCGCAGCCAATGGCCTCACAGCCCAACGAGACGCCACCGTCCAAACGCCGCAAGGTGCCACGTCGAGGGAGCCCGGGGGGAGAGGTCGTGACAAAGAGCTGCTGCAGCTGAGGGGTCAGCGGTCGCGTGAGAGGGCAGCGGTGCAGAGACTGGCGGGTGTGCAAGGGATGCTGGGAGGTGCACCAAGTGTGCCGATGCGTCCGGCTCGCCACGACAAACCAAAGACTGAGGGAGGGTAAGTGAGGAGACACCTGCATTACCGGCACACATGGAGCCGTCCTTTGCCCTTTAGGCGCGTGCGGAGTGTGAGTGAGCCTGCAGCAGCCCACGAGAGCCCGTCAAGAGACCCATCATCGCCGTATCCACAAGACCGGACCGTCGCGCAGCGTTACGAAGCCGTCACTGCACGTGAGGGAGACACAGCTTCTTGTTACCTTTTGTCCATGTCTCTGTGTCTGTTGACTGTTCTGGTCAGTCATGGCTGAGCAGTCTTTCATCAACCACTGGTATGCGTGGCGCCCTCACTAAGCTCAGCCACTGCCCCTCTCTCCTCTCTCCTCTCACAGGTCGACTCACGGGTCGACGCCCAACGTCCAAGCCCCGCAGGTACTCCGGCAGGGGGTGCTGCACTACGGCAGCGGCGAGGTGTGCCTCACCAAGCCCCCATTCAGCGACGAGGAGCTCAAAACAATGAGCAGGACGTAGGCGGCGATGCGCAATGTGGCTGACCTCATCGGCGTGTGTTCATTTCTGCAGGGACTTCGAGAAGAAGTTCCTGCTCTTGGAGAACTTCTACCGCGCCCGTGTCTACATGGCGAAGGTGGGCGGCTCAGAAGAGGTCAAGCAGCAAATGTTCTCAAGGTTCTTCAACAACGTACGTCAACTCCGGCAGACAAGATGGACAGCACAATGGGGCTCTGCATTGTGTGTGTGTGTGTGTGTGTGTATGTTTCTTTGTGATTCACACAGGAGGTCATGGAGCCACCCCAATGATTCCTCGCGACATGCATGTCATGGATGTACACTGAGTCACTGACGTGGGCAGACATGAAGTATGGACACACGCCGAGCACTCAAAGCGACGCATGGACACACACAGACACACACACACACACACACACAAACGAATGCCGCATGGCTGGCAGACTAAATATTGCGCCTGCAGCACAGCAGCGACAGCAGTGGCATACACATGAACACACACACACACACAGACACACACACACATGGACACACCATGAGGTCGGATGGCAGGCTAAAGATACCGCCTGCGCACCGACCTGAGCGGTGTATATGAGCATACACACAGAAGGCAAAGGCACACAGTGCAGTGCAGCACCACATGAACATCGATTGATAAAAGCCATACTTGCATGAGTGATGCTACGGAGCTACCTAGCAACCACTACCACGAATCCATCTACCAACTACAATAGGGATGTGTCTACTGCAGGCTATGCTGCTTGCACATGGAGGGGCAATATCAGAGAGACATGCGTCAAGAAAGAGTGGCTGGCAGACTAAATATCTCGCCTGCAGCACACCAGCGACACGAAATCATGATCATCGACACACACATACACACACACACACATGGACACACCCATGAGTCGGATGGCAGACTAAAGATACCGCCTGCGCACCGACCTGATGATTCACATGAATACACAA